TTATGGGATGCAATAGTTCTATGAGGGAAATTTATAGCAGTAAATTCTCATATAAGGAAATCTGAACAAGTTCAAATCAACCATGTTGAACACTGAACTTGTAAAAAAGAAGAACAAATTAATCCCAAAGAGCCTATGAGGGAGGAAACTATAAAGAATAGAAATTGTGCATCTGGGACTAAGAAAACAATACAATATAATACAAAAGAATCAATGAATCAAATAGTTGGTTCTTTGAAAGATTGAATATAACTGATAAACTCTTAGCCAAGCTTATCAAAAAGAGGAAAGAAAAGTCTCAAATTCGTGGTGTTAGGGATAAAAAGGGTGAAATCATAATCAATCCTGTGGCAATCCAGATCACCACTTCTACTTTGAGAACCTGTAGTCTAATAAAATGCAAAACATAGAAGAAATGAACAGATTCCTAGATATATATGAATTGCCAAAACTGAATCAAGAAGATAGAAAAATTCTAAATAACCCAATACCAGTCAATGAAATAGAAAATGTAATTAAAACAACAAAGAAAAGCCCAGGCCCTGACAGATTCACTGATGAATTCTACAAGAAATTTAGAGAACTAATGCCACTAAACTGAAACTTGAGAACTACAGGTCAATCTCCTTAATGAACATAAATGCAAAAATACTCATTAAGATACTGGCAAACAGAATGCTGCAAATCATCAAAAAGACTATATACCATGACCAAGCAGAATTCATCCCAGGGATGCACGAATGGTTCAATACATGCAAAGCAATAAATATAATACACCATTATCAACAGAACCAAAGACAAAAATCTTGATCATATGAATAGATGCAGAAAGAGCATCTGACAATACCCACTCAGGATAAAAACACTATGGAAAATGGAATAGATGGTGTTTATCTCAGTCTGATAAAAGCCATCTTTGTAATAGTCAACTTACCAAATAGTAAAAGCTGAAAGCTTCATTTTAAAACCAGTGACAAGACATTATAGCCACTCCTACTCAATATAGTTCTGGAAACATCAGCCAGAGTAATTAGATGAGAGAAATAAAAAAAGGATAGGAAAAGAGGAAGTTAAATTATTATTTGCAAATGACGATACCCCACACAGATGATCCCAAAAACTTCCCCAGATGATTTGTAGATTTAATAATTGAATTCAGTACTGTAGCTGGATACAAAGATGACACTCAAAAACCAATAGCATTCCTTTACACAAACAGCAAACTGACTGAGAGGAATTAGGGAAACCACACCTTTCATAATAGCACTCCCTCCAAATACCTAGAAATCAACCTAGTAAAGGAAGTAAAAGATCTATACATTGAAAATTACACTACTCTGAAAAAGGAGATAGAACAGGACATCAGAGAACAAAAATATTCCTTGCTCATGGATAGGAAAAACCAACCTAGTGAAAATGACCGTATTTTCTAAATTGTTATACAAATTTAATGCATCCCCAAATCGTTCAACCAGAGAATAAGATATCTGCATTCAATTGTTGAACAATACCAGTACATAGCTTTCTCTTCCTGCGAACTCAGAGAAATCAGTAGTGAAACTATCTTAATTATCTTTTTATTTACATATACCTGTATACGTGTATATACATATACATATCTTTTCCTTCAGTTTTTCACATTAATGAAACAATATGATGTTTACATGTGTCTTATTTATCTCACTAATGAGTATGTTCTCAAGTTGCATCCATTTACTTATAAAAATCTCCAGTTTATCCTTCTTTATGGCCAAGTAGCACTCCACTATATTAAAATACCACATCTTTTTTATCCATCCTCGGTTGCCAGGCATTTAGGTTGTTTCCAAGATTTGGCTATTACAAATTGTGCTGCTAAAAACATGGGTGCACATACATCACTGTAGTATGATGTTTTTAATTTTTGGGAGAAGATAGCCAAAAGGGGAATAGCTGGATTGAATGGGACCTCCAATCCTGGTTTTTTGAGGAATTGCCACACTGACTTCCACAGTGGTTGCACCAGCCTGCATTCCCACCAACAGTGGAGAAAGATTCAAAAGGACTAATATCTGGAACATACAAAGAACTGAAAAAAATTAGACCCTCTAAATTTAAAGACCCAACCCAGGCATCTGAGATGAATACATGCTTCCCAAAGGAAGAAATACAAATGGCAAATAATCATACGAAAAATTCAACATCACTGGTCATTCAAAAGATGCAAATTAAAACAACTACGCGATTCTTCCACCTCACTTGAGAAAGAAAGGCTAACATCAAAAAGTTAACCAATAACAAATGCTGGAAGGGTTGTGGGGAAAAAGAAGCCCTTTTCTTTTCTTTTTTTTTTTTTTTTTATTCTTTTTTTTTTTTGTCTTTTTCATTTTTATCGGTACCAGGAATCGAACTCACGACTGCCTGCTTGCAAGGCAGGCGCTTATGCCGCTGAGCTAAATCCCCAGCCCCAAAAGAAGCCCTTTTCACTGTCGTTGGGAATATAAACTGGTACAACCATTGTGGAAATCAGTGTGATTATTCTTCAAAAATCTAGGATTAGAGGCCCATTTGACCCAGCTATTCCCCTATTGGATGACTTCCTGGAAGAATGAAAAACACCAAACCACAGCAATATATGGGCACCTGTGTTTATAACACAGTGTGAAATACCTAAATCTTGAAAATGCTTACCCAAATGGCCATCAACTGAGGAATGGATGAAAAAGATGTGCCTTTTTTTTATATATAGGAGTACTACTCAGCCATAGGAAGGATAAACTTCAGACATTTCTAAGTAAATGGATGTACCTTAAATGGATACACACTTATTACTCTTATGTGTAATAAACTGGACATGTGTCAATAGTGTATCTTCTACTTGCTGTGAAAAACTGAAAGAGTAAATAAAGACCAAAATGTAAAATAGATATTGTGAAATTGGAACAAACGGTTTAAAAAGAAAGAGGAACTGGGGGGGAGGGGGCATGCGGGGAAGGAAAGGAAAGGAAGGGAAACAAATGATAAAAGGGTAAAATGAAAACAAAGCTGTGTAAATAAGGGAGGGAAGAGGGTTGGATGGAGGGGAGGGATTGGGAAAAAAAGACTCAAGATACAGCATACACAGGTAAAATTCTCTATGATGAATACATCATTACGTATTTCTAAATTGTACCAATAAACTTAATAAAAAACCCAAGGTGACAAAATCAGTAAAAAATATGAATAACCAAGTACATAATTGTTCATGTGATTCTTTCATTCTTTTTTTTTTTTTTTTTGTCTTTTTTGTTTTTTATCGGTACCAGGGATCGAACTCACGACTGCCTGCTTGCAAGGCAGGCGCTTATGCCTGCTGAGCTAAATCCCTAGCCTGATTCTTTTATTCTTTAAAGATGTTACCAATCCAGAAACCTAAATTCATCAACATTTTTGTCTTACACATCGTTGCTTCCAGTGAAGTTTTTTTTTTTTAAATGGACTCCAGTGACATCTTGAAAGTCTTTTACTGTTCAAACCATGGAGGCATCTTAAAAATTGAGATAAATTATAGAATGTAAATATACTAAAAAAAAATCCACCTGGTTCCAGGATAAAAATACAAAACCAGTTATCAAGAGGGCATATTTGTGTAGTATCTTTTCAAAAAAGAAAAATGGATAGATGCTCCGATTAGTCATGGCTCATAATGCACCTAGGTATGATGCTATTACACTGGTATAATAATTGAAATTACGAACATAAGGTGGTTACCTTGTTAATTCCAATCGTGTTGCAACAGTAATTTCATTGAGAGGTGAAAAATCATATAAAACTAAAGTTGTGTGTGGTGGTACATGTCTGTAATCCCAGCACTTGGGAGGCTGAGACAGGAGACTGCAGTGAGTTTGAGGCCAGTCTGGGCTGCATTGTGAGTTCAAAGCTAGCCTGAACTACAAAGCAGGATCCTGCCTCAACAAATACAACAGTGTTAAATCTTGAGGGGAAAAAAAAGTTTTGTTTAATTAAAAATTTTGCTTTGAGAACCACTAGCAATTCTGCTAAGCGCATATCAATTTAGTTATAAATTAAAAATTTAACAAATTATTAAAGTACAATAATTTGAAACATGTAAAAGCCAAACTGATACTTTTTACCACTTGCATGCCTAATGACATGTCTAGAAATGTCACTTTCATGGCAATCAGGTGTTACTTCACAATGTCATGGTAAGCACAATCCTGTAAGATAACAATTCAAATGAGCTCAACAAATTGCCATCCTAAATTTGATGTTATATATATTAAAATAAATTAGTGAGGAAATTCCTTACTACGGACACCGTTTTCTCTTTTCAAGTTCTTTACTAGATATACATTGTTCTTAACATACTTAAGAGAGAGAATTAAAAAACCACTAAAAGTTTCCTACTGTAACTTCTGTAGTGGTGCATCTTGAATCGTATCTGTACAGAATTTTAATTTAAAAATGAACAGACCTGGCATGTAGTTCAGTGATAGAATGCTTGCCAAGCAACCTCATGGCACAAAGTTAAATCTCTAGCATTGCAAAAAAAAAAAAAAAGTTTTCATATACCTCCTTCACCAACATTTCCTTGTTAAATTCTAGTTCTGACTAAAAAACTAGACATTACATAAAATAAAAAAAGAAACAAGCACAATGAATGTGCCCTCTGTTGCAATTTTTGTATTAAAACTAAAACCACCACACAGTTTTCATATATGAATGCATGCTTTGCTGTTTCATAATCAAACTTTATAGTTGATCCTGTAGTCAATAAAAAATAAAATCATGAAAGACAGATAATAATTCTAATAAAAACAAAATTGTTTTGGTAACATAAAAAATGTAATATCAAAACATTAACCTAGGGGAATGAATATCAAATTTATCCTTTTAACAGAAAAATAAAAACTCATCAATTCAAAATGTTCATCTTACCTTTATCTGATTTTCAACTCTTAATTTAACTTGTATGAGAAAAACAGAAGATAAATGTAAAAGACAGATTACAAGTATCTTACCATACACTCCTTTGTCTAAAAGTAGTAAAAATTCATCCACAGCATTACGCATCTCATATTCAGTTAGATCCAGCAATGAAACAACTTTGAAATCCAGTTGTCTCAGCAAGTTGGTCAGTTCATACACATCCACCAAGGGAGCTTTAAGCTTGGGGTGTTCCCAGTAATTCATATTTCCTATCAAAAGAGCAACTTTGTCTTTTGCTGTAAAACAGGGGAAGGATGTTAAAGGAGAATATAGGGATTAAAACCTATGGCAATGGCATCATTATAAAGACAAAGTTTGCTTTAAGATTACACTAATTTTAATAAGGTTTAATTAGTACTTTTGCTTTAGTACTGTTACTTTATATAGCAGATCAATACACTGAAAAACACATGAAGCTAACATCATACCAAATAGCTGAAATTAAACTTATAAATGCTTCAGAACCAGGAAGATATTTGTTAATTGTATATGAAACATAATCTTTCACTGAATTACAAAAAAAAAACCCCAATATTCAATAAAACTTTTAGAGGCCATTTCAACAAGAAATATTTATAAACGGGTTCCCATCAAATTAAGTCCTATTTTGCAAAGAACAGAAGAGGGGAAAAAAACAAAACAGAACAAAAATACCTACCTACAAGAGGGACAGGAAGAGGATACATCAAAGCCAGCAAGGGGAAGGGCCTGAGAAAAGCCAGAACTCCACAAGAAACATTGTTTTGCAGCTGCTGTTTAGATGGACTATCCTCGAGGCTGCTCGAGGTGCACAGGGAAACTTCCTCAATGAACGTCCTTTGACAGTTCATTTTCTGAACTTCGCGCTGTGAGGTTGCTAAAGATAAGCCTTTTTCCACCCTTCAGTAGTAGGGATTGTATCCAGATCCAGGGCCTTTATATTGAGCTATAACCTCACTCCTTTTTACATTTTCAATCAGAGTCTTCCTAAGTTGGCCAGGCTGGTTTAAAACTTGTGATTTCCTGTCTCAGCCTCCTGACTAGTTGGAATTATAGGCTGGACCACCATGCCCATCTAAAATAGTTGTTCTGACAGAAATAGTGGTGAAAGGGGCAAACCATTTGGACACATGCCTTAAAAAGTATCAGTGTGGGGGCCAGGGATTTAAGTGTTTGCATGGCAAGTGCAAGGTTGTGAGCTTGATCCCCATACCAAAAAAAAAAAAAAAAAAAAAAAAAAAGTATCAGTGAGTTTAAGCCCGCCCTAAGCAGCTTACAGCAGAACACAGTTTTGTATTGAAGAGGTAAAATACTATCCCTTTCTCTGAAGGTCTCGGGTGGGGCAAAGGGTGTAAAGTCATATGAAAGCACATCTAATTACATAAACACTTGACAATGTTGATTAAACAGCTATGCTACTGGCTTATAAATTACCTTACTGTTTCTACTGCTATTTTAAAAATTATCAGCAGGCTCATACATCTTATTTTTGTTACTGTATCTCTTGATTGCATTGGGGTCCACACTGAATAACCAACATAATGACACATTTTTCAGAAAATATCCTCATTGTTAAGTGATATTGACTGTATTTAGAAAAGAACAATACAGTTTATAGATTGAAAGAGCTGAAAAATATGAGACTATCTTAAAATGTATTATGAAATATAGTGGTAATTAACAACTTTTCTAACTCTTTCCAATGATAATTTTTAATAGCTAGCACCTAAAATGTTAAATTTTTTTTTTTTTAAACTTAATGTTAAGAAGGATGGTGGGTAAGTAAATCTTACCTTGCCCAAACTAGTTTGCGAAGCAGTTCCTGGATGCCAGGAATACTGGGGTGGATTTAGAACACAAAAGCAGAAGCTGCAGTTGAAATAAGAGCTGCTACTCATTCCAGGAAATTGGTACAGAAATGGAAAAGAAGAGTCAGACTTTAGAGACAGGACACAGAAAGAAATAGTAAAATCTGAATTTGACGAGGTAAGAGAGAAACAGAACTTCAAAACAGCACCTAATTCAGCAATTTCAGGTAATAAATGCAAGAAATTTTTTATAAAAACATTTACTGTAAAAGCCACCCACAGTTTCTTGACCATAAACCATTCAGTGGAAAAAGGAACCATGGAGCTAGGCGTGCAGCTGAGCAGTGCAGCAAGTGTTAGCACATGCGAGTTCAATCCCTAGCACGCATGTGTGTACACATACACACACAAAGAAAAAGCCAGCTGATGACACAAAAGAAAAATAAATTCCTTAGAAAGGTATTTTAACTACATGAAGCATATGATAAATGTCTGGAGAACTTCATGATAAAAGTTGGCCAGATATACAATTTATCCTGTTATTCTTTCAATCAGGACATGTTTGAGAAAAGTTATCTGATGTAACTGAATTAATAAAGCTATGGAATCAGAGATATCGCAATAATCAACTCTAGTTCAAGCACTAAATTATATAATTCCAAGCAAGTTGTTTTAAAGTTTTAAATTATCATCTACCTTCCCAGAATCAATAACTGGGACCACCTCTTATTAAAAAGTTTCTGCATGTCAAAAAAAATCTCCAGCATAGTGAAAAGAAAACCCACAAACTGGGAAACAATCTTAGTGAACTCTCCCTCAGACAAGGGACTTTTGTCTAAAACATATAAAGAATTGGGGCTGGGGATTTAGCTCAGCGGCATATGCGCCTCCGTTGCAAGCAGGCAGTGGTGAGTTCGATCTCGGGTACTGACAAAAAGGAAAAATGACAAAACAAACAAACAAACAAACAAACAAAAAATCCACAACATATAAAGAATTAAAAATACTCAGACCCCGAAAATTCAAAGATCCAATCCAAAAATGGGCATCTGAGATGAAACACACTTCTCAGATGAAGAAATACAAATGGCAAATAAATACATGAAAAAATGTTCATCATCATTGGTCATTAGGGAAATGCAAATTAAAGCCATACTGAGATTCCATCTCACTCCTGAAAGAATGGCCAGGATTAAGAAAACCAACAACAAATAATGCTGGAGAGGCTGTGGGGAAAAAGGAACTCTCCTTCACTGTTGGTGGGAGTGTAGACTGGTACAACCTTTGTGGAGGTGAGTCTGGAGATTTCTCAAAAAGCTGGGATTGGAAGTCCCATTTGTTCCAGCTATTCCACTTCTAGGCATATTCTCAGAAGAACTGAAAGCATCATACCACAGTAATATATGCGCACCTATGTTTATAGCAGCACAATTTGTAATCGCCAAATCTGGGAAACAACCCAAGTGTCCATCAACTGAGGAATGGATAAAAAAGTTGTGGTATTTCTACACAATGGAGTACTACTCAGCTATAAAGAAGGATCACATTGAGATATTTATCAATAAACGGGCGCAGCTTGAAACCATACTCATAAGTGAAACAAATCAAACTCAAATGTGTGAATACCGAATAGTTTCCCTAGTGTAGGAAATGATTCAAATATATGAAAGTATGTGGTAATCATGATTTCCCATTATGTGGCCTTGAAGCCTTATAAAGTTTTCACTCATTAACTGGAATGGCTTTATTCTGGGCTGCTTGATATTATTGCCTATGATGAAATGAACAGCTATTTTGAAGAAAACAAGACATCATAATAGCTAGTGCTGATTTATTTTTTATTTTATTTTTTCTCATTTGTTGTACTGAAAACTGTGGTGTCCAATGTTCACTCAGACAGGACACCCCCAAACCAGTTCCAATTCTCTTGCTCACAAGTGGGCAGGTCAGGACCACATGGAGAAGACCAAGCCCAGTGAGCACGCTAGTGCTGATTTAATACCATCTTGTTTTGAAGCCCCACCAAACTATGACTATTCTGTCTCCATTGGTTTTATCATGTTGCATCTTGCTGGATTTTTTTATATGTGATAGTATAAACAAAAATTATTATAGGCAAAGAGATAATACAGAAACCATTGTTCGTTTTCTGTTAGCTGGTTCTAAGTACCTTACAATGCTTTCATCCACTTGAATGGTTTTACACTGTCTTGATATGTTTGATGCTATAGTATACGAAGTTATATTCAAATATTTCAAGGAAAGAGACACTATGGTAACTACTATTAAGTTGGGTTATTTGGCGGTGAAGCACTAGGTTGCTGAAACTGTCATGCTTTGACTTGTATTGTTATGCTGTTATGTCCTCTTTTATCTCAATCTCTCCCTTATTCATTAAAAAAATTATTTAATTATTTTTTATTACTAGGGGAAAAATAAAAAAAATTAGGATACATTATACTAACTTTTTAAATTTCCTATTAACTTGATTTGAAGTCCTGTAATACTCCCACTACTTTGTTTTGACTGATTAGGCTCTGTTCCGTTCCGTAAGATAGTATCAAGTTTGAGGGAATAGGCAACTACTTTGAAGGCAATAAGATTCACTATGATGCCCATTCTGATATGACTATTAACCTCTTTTGAAGTCCTGTAATGTTCACAATGTTTAGATTTTATTGGTCTTGTTCTCTACTGTTTTGTTCAACTTTATAATTAATTCTTCTTAAGGAAGCAAGAGGCAATATGGTAACCATTATTGATAATGTTGTACTCTGTTTTTACATCATGTGCTATGTCTACCCTTGGTTTTGACTGACAGCTTTGTTTTGTCATTTTTGATTTTATTCTCTTCCAAAAAAAAAAAAGTAATAAGAACTATGGGAGTAATAAAACCCAAAATGTGTAAATTTTGTTGTAATAAAGAGAGGGAAAAAAAAGTGCTCTAAAGGATACAACTGCAAGTGTGTTTAGGTGGGTTAAATAGCTGACCATATTAATGTTTTTGATTGGATCATTGAACACAACTGTTCGCAGTCTCACTGTTTGAATGTCCACTTTGTATGCTTTGATCCTGTGACTTGAACAACTATCTCTAAGGTGATAATGTGTAATCTATTAACTGGTGATTTCTTACTGTTTTTTTTTTTTTTGTAGTTCTGTATTACTTGTACCCTTACACTGTTTTGTTTTTTCTTTTTCTTTTTAAATAAAATTAAAAAAAATTATCATCTACAAAAAATGAGAAAAATATCTACATCTCAGGTTTGAATTACACAATTCATCAAGTGAAACTATTTATTAGTCTTACAATTAACTGCACTAACATTAATATAATTAGTATTCTACAAAACCATCTTCAACAATGAACTCAGTTATATTTGGACTTTGTCATTTTGTGTACTTACAAACATACATATGCTTACTACACAGTAGACAATCTCATAGCTGTAGCTTTGTTCAGTTCACTATTTTAATAGATGTTTCTTAACAGATGAGATTCGGGGATCTCGAGTGGTAAGGTTTATATCCAGATGTCTGTCCCCCAAGAGCCTCATGCACCATAAGCGGGCCTTTGGGAAGGAGCCTGAATAAGGGGCAATACAGATGCCTTGCGGTTCAGATGCGGGGTGTGGTAAGAAGAGGAGGTCCCTGGGCTGTGACCTGGAGGGCAGGCCTCCTCCCCAGCTTGCTCCTTCACTCTCTTTCTGGTGGCTGGTCACCATGACGGGAGTAGCTTTCCTCTGCTATGCCCTTCTGTCATGCCATTCTGCCTTGAAGTCAGCTGACCCTGGTCTATAAATGTGGGCCAAATAAAACTCCTCCTTTAAGTTATGGGTGCTGCACACTGTGTCTCAGCAATGAGAAGATGACTAAGATATAGAGGAAAGGTACTGGAGGTGGAATACATGAAAATTTGTATGAATGAAATGTATCATGTTTTAAAAAAATGGGCAATAATTCACAGTCTCATGCTTTCTTCAACATCAAGGGCCTTTCCCTTCATTGTTGCTCAATTCTATGATCATTTTCTGGACCTGGCTGTCACCTAAGCTGCTGTACCTCTGAAAAGTATTTTCTCTAAGTAACCATAACAACCTCCTATTCTGTAACAGTTTTGCCATTATATTTTTTCTTTCAATTCAGCGAACTCTTTTAATTTATTGATTCCTTATTTTCTCCCATTTATCAACCTTTTAAAGGCTCTTTTTTGCCTATGCAGTCTTTATGCCTTGATTAATTTCTCCAAATTCGAACTGCTTTTCCCAGTCTGAATGGCTAGCACAGTGTCTGGCACTAAGCCAGGAACAGAAGGATCAGTTCTCAGCCTGCTCTCCCTGTTTTAAAGCTGAGTTCTACTGCTGAACAATCATACAGAACAATCATACTTCATAATAGCTGTATCATTACAAATTCTTAATTTTTAAAAGTTTTAGTTTGACTGTCAATATTCTTTCATTCATAGATGGTTGTGTTCATTTTCTTTAGTCATAAAACCCGTACCACAGACCAAGTTTGATATTAATCCTATACTTTTTCTGAATCCTTCAAGCAGAAAAGCCTAGAAAGAAAAACCATTACTGCACTTGAAAATGTCAACTTCCTAACACATTATTCTAAATCTTGCCCAATTTCTTCTTCGTTCTAATCTCAGAGGGAAAACAGCTACTAACATTCTGATTAAGCCAATCCCTCCCCTTTCCTCTTAGTCCAAATTCCTAATGTCTTCACTAGAAACTTGCTCCATAAATTGTCCTCTTTTTGCTGGAACATGCTAACCTCTAACAATCCCAGGAGAGCCTTCCTTCCAAGTGGAAATAGCTTCATATCCTCCCCACGTTTCAAAGAACTTCAAATATATGTCTCATGCACTTAATCACGGATCACCATTTTTTTCTCAACAGATTAATTTGAAGGATGTTTTTATTTGCTTACTTTTGAATCATTCTTAACCCATTAACTTATACATTGTATCCATGTTTGAATCCCAGCATAACTTAGTAACCAACATTTCACCAAAGTCATTATATCACTTCTTCAGTAGCTGAACCCAGTGGGCAAGTTTGAGAAATTATTTTACCAACTTCTGCCAGGATCAAGGTGTCAACAATTTCTACTATCTTTAAATGTTAATCTGGTAAAGTTTTATGGTATGAATCTCTTATATCTTCCTTTTCTTGGTTTTCTCTCATATTTTTTCTCCAGGGTATTCTTTAAGTGCAACTATTTTATTTACTTCTTGCCCTGAATCTTCCTACTAAGGAAGATGGGAATGCAAATTTCAAAGCTTACTGCAACCTTTGTGGTGCTTCCCTAATTTCTACTTCACCAGCAGATAGTGTAAATCACATTTTCTTCTCTTTCACCTATACAACATACATATCTTTTTGTTTATATGTTTATTTACATGTTTCCACAATATTGAAATCATTCCACAGAAGTTGACTTGGCCTCAGAAACAGAATTTGTATTTTTTTAAAGTGGTACTGGGGATAGGATGCAGGGCCTTGATGCATTCCAGGCAAGTGCTCTACAACACAGCACATGCCAGCCCTTTCTAAATGTTTGAAACAGGTCTTGCTAAGTTGCCCAGGTTAGTCTTTAACTTGAGATTTTCCTGCCTCAGCCTCCACAGTAGCAGGGGTTACATGGATGTGCCACCATGCCCAGTTGATTTGTAATCATTTTTTTTTTTTAATCGGTACTGGGGATTGAACTCACGACCACGTGCTTGCCAGGCAGGCACTTATGCCGCTGAGCTAAATCCCCAGCCCTGATTTGTAATCATTTCTAAGCCTTTTCTTCTATAATTTCTTTTACAAGTATCAAATATAAAAATTTGGCCCAATGTTATTCAAATATTTATAAAAGCAATCAAGATAAAATAGCTTAAATAGTTTCCTGGTCATCATAAAATAGAATTAAATACCATAGTTGTATGCGATTATACACTTCAAATTCTACTTACCCAAAGACTGGTCAGTAGTTTGGTCTTTATTGTCTATATCAAGATAAAAACAAAACATGTTATTAATCACTGTAAAAGTATTTTGAAAGCTAATGATACAAGAAAAGCAATGAATAAGAACATCTTAAGTCTCAATAAAATATAGTAGAACAGCAGTTACTAAAGACTGGAAAGGGAAGTGAGAGTGAAAAGGCAGACAATGGGCCACAAAACAGAGACAGGAAGAAGGTCTAATGTCACTTAGCACAACAGGGCAACTACAGGCTCCAACCACTAAAATTCACAATAATGAGAAGTACTTGAAGGTGCTCCAAACACAGAAGTGATACTATATGAGGAGATGGCTATGATAATTATCCCAAAATGATCATTACACATTGTATACAGGTATCAGATAACAACACTGTACTCTTTGAATATGTAAAAATACATGCTGATGAAAAATTTAAAATGAAAAATACATAATACAGAGGCTGACAGTCACCTTACAATTTTAAGATTTTCAGATTTTTAAAAAGAAAAACATGCAAGGACAGACAGGATTGGAATCAAGGTGAGGCACTAATTTTGGTAACTAACTAACATGGGAAGTTGGGAAATAATCTTTTAACATTTTAGTAGCAAGTACAATCTAAAAACAGTAATGATACTCAAATAATAAGCAGCAGCACTGCTGAAATGGACACCTTAGGTGGCACTACTCTATATCCTTTCTAACAGATTCAATTAAACCTTACTCTACCCTACCAGGTATATGTTATTAGCTCCATTATACAGATAAAGAAACTAAGCCAGACAGAGGTTAAATCATTTCTCCATAATTGTTAAGGTAGTACTAGCAAATCTGGAGTCTAACTTAAGAAGTACTCATTCCAAATTTCTCTTCTTTTCACTTTGCAGTATTTGGGGTTGAATCCAGGACCTTCACAGTGAGCTACCTCTGCAGCCCTTTTCTGAGAAGGGTCTCCCTAAGTCAATAAATTCTGAGCTTGAACTTGGAATCCTCTTGTTCATGCATTCACTATCACTCTACAGCATACAAAATCTCTCTTACCCTCAAGCACCACTGGAAAGAGAGCTGCAGGGAAAGATCAGTCTGTGGTGTGCGCAGTGTTATGGGGAGAGTAATTCTGTATGCATGTTCAGTAACATAAATAGGTTACGGGAGCCGACTACGTAGCCTCCCCACATACCACTTTTTTGTAAACTCAATTTTTTTTTTGTTTGTAAACTCACTTTTTACAATCCTAGTACAATCCCTGAATTTTAGGGAGTAAGGAAAAAGGGACCAGAAAAATTTTAGAAACTTAGTGGCAGATATACACAAAAGTTCTTGTGAAATAACTAAAATATTTGCTAAAGGGCAAGAAATAACTAATTTAAGAAAAGGGATTCTATCCCGATCAAGATACAATTACTAGCACTGTTCAACAGTATGTAGTGCTGGATGCTTGAATCAAGTTTCACTGAGGCTTTTTTGAATTCCAGAATACTAAAGCAAAGAGATGGACAAATTGGTGATGGTGGTTTTGTGTTTTAATTTACTTATCTGTAATCAGTACAGTCCAAACAGCATTTACAATAGCAGTTTATTGCCAAACACGAATCTAGTTAAACTGGGGCTGGAGGTGTACTTCATGATACATCCTAGTATATACGAAGCCCTGGGGTCAATCCTAGAACTGGGGCAGGATTTGGGGGTGGGGAGAAAGACGGAAGGAAGAAAAGAAAGATGGGAGGCACAGAGAAAGAAAAAGAGTCTAAGCAAACTAATTATGGTGCTAATACTGAGATATAGCAAGGCTTTCTACAAATATAAAATAAATGCCTAGCTAATATATTTAATTTTTTTATTTTAAAGAGAAGAAAAATAGAAATAAAAAGTTTCAAATCAGGCTGTAGGAGAGTAGCAATAATTGATATATTGTACTTTGTTTATTCTCATATTAGTTACTCAGAATATAAGATAAAGGCATGAAATAATGTCCAGACAATATTAGAATAGATTTTTCTTTTCAATGAACTAAGAGAAACTAGCTGTATACCTAATTAACTATCTTACATATATTTTTTTCTTCCCTTTTCTTTCCTTGTTCCTTTCTCCCAACAGTTTCTCTTTTCTTTTGAATGGGTTTTTCTCAATTTGCAATATCCACTGTACCTTCTGTACATGATGTTTACATTTGTGGGTCTGATTTACTTGACTTATGAGTATGGTCTTGAGTTATATCCATTTACTGATAAAAGTCTCGAGTTTATTTTTCTTTATGGCTGAATATACATATATGGTCACATCTTTTTTATTTATTGCCCAGTTGCTGATGGGCATTTGGGCTGTTTCCAAGATTTACTTATTACAAATTGTGCTGCTACAAACATAGGTGTACATATATCACCATGGTATGATGTTTTTAATTCTTCTGGAAAGATATCCAGTGGTGCAGCACCTGCTTTGCTACTAGATTCTTATAAAATTTTGTCTTCAAATTTGTCCGCAGGTTCTATCGTAGTGCTTCAGAATGTCCATAACATATACCAAGGTCTTCTGTCTGTACATATTCCTCACCACTGATATTCCTCTTATCTCGGTTAAAGGCTTTCCCTTTAACCTAGCTCATAATAAATGTTCTAATTAAAACTGGCCTGGAAGTTCTGCCTACTCCTGCCAACAGTCAGTCTGTTAATGGTCACTGACCAACCAATGTGTACAGGGCTAACTATTCTCACGTTGCCTCTGGTGAAGGAACCTACCCAACTACTTCAGATGTATTCTGTCTGAGCAACAAGGGCTGAAACCTGACCAGTTCAGAAAGATGACTTGTCATTCTTTCATACATATGTCCCATCTTCCACATTAAAGAACATGCATTCTCCTCTTTAACTTCCTTTGTATGATACAAGGAGAACACACAATGATAAAAAACACACTGGCATTTTATACTGCCTCCTATTACTTTCCACCATTATGGTTTTATAATTAAGAATATTTTTGTTTCACTTGCATGAAACCGATATTCATAGAAGTAGCAACTTCAGCCTTAAATTATAAAGAAGAAAATGTTACTAGGATTAGTATAGCAAAAGAGTATTTATGGGATCTTTATCATATTCAATAAGTTACAAATCAAAGACCAAAACAGCTTATGTTTGTATTACTTACCAGGATGGCCAAAAGCACTTAATTCCTCTAAAATAAAACAAGAGAAAATACATTATATAAATCTCTCAACTTAGCACAAATAAGACTAATAGAACTGATATTAAATCATGCATTGTTTTTACTAATTTAGAACTGTTTAAATTAAGAAGCCATGCAAATACTGAAAAGAACACTACTGTAAACACCATTTAGGACTTCCACGTTATTGCTGCTTTCATTAAATTATGAAAAGATAAACTCACTCATTACATCCTTAAAATTTTACATATTCTAGCCAACTATGGGACAAAAACGGTCAACATATAAGTCTGTTTATAGCCTCAACTATTAACCTCAATCTCTCAATCTTTTTTTTTAAAAAAACCTTGTATTTTAGAACATAGATTAATAAAACTATTTCAAGATAGAGCAGAGGGTATCTGTATATCCCAAACCTATTTTTCCCCAGTGTATTATGTTTGTATCATATATTTATCATGACTAATAAGCTGTTCACATTCATTTTTCATTGTGGGACTCCATTTAGGATACCACATGACTTACTATGATTTCTTAGGTTCATCTTGATTATAACAGTTGCTTAGATACTCTTTGTTTTTCATGACCACGACAGTTTATAGTAACTGCTCAAGTATTTTGTAGAATGTCCCACAATTAGAATCTGTCTGATGTTTTCCTCACGGTTATTCATAGTTTCTCAAGAAGTATGTGCTTTAGAGAGCGACAGTGGTTTCAGATTTAACCTGTACTCCTTGGGAGTTTTATCATCATAGATAAAGGATAGTTATCTAAGTAAATATCAATGACATTATAGCTTCTACTTTTTCTTTACAAATCTCGTGAAGATAATCAACATTAGCAGTATACTGCAGAAGTTATACTACATATAAAAGTATTATAGAGAAACTCTACATTCTCATCTATGCACAAGTGTCTAACGACATCAACCAACGCAAAGGTCAGGCAGACTTTCTCCTGCCTCTGGTATTGCTAACTACACTCACTAGCAGTTGCTTAGGTCAGCACTTTCTTCTAGCACTCTTCAGCAAGGCTGTCTGTATTTCTGTAACACTTTTAAGGCTTCTGTCACACTGTACACTCCATCTTTGTCCTCCTCCCTTCTTTTTTTTTTCCCCTTCTCGTCCTGGAATCGAACTCAGGACTTTGTGCTTGCCATGCAGGCGCTGCACCACTCAGCTCTCTGCTCAACCCCTTCTTCTTGCCTACTAATGATTTTTAAACTTTGTACACGTGTATTTGCCATTACAGTTATCAGACAGGCTTCACCTATCCAAGCTCACTCTGTCCTAAGTCAAGAAACTAACAAAATACAAAATAGTAAATAGAGGGCACTGTGTTTTGTAGGTTAAAGAAAGAAATGATATGCTGATTTAGGTCATAAAACATGTCAATCTACCTTAAATTTTAAAAAACCTCAATTTAAGTAGGTTTTTTGAAAAAAAAAAAAGCTGCATCTATCTGGCTTTTCCATTTAAAACTTTTGGATTAATTTCAGTCCTAGACTTTCTCTCTCTGTTTCTCAACAGAGTTATTTGAAAATTATTGTTTAAGGTATTGCCACTTTAAAAAAAATCAGTGAATTATGTAAGCATAGAAGCAATATCATATGTGTCAACCTGAAGCCAAACAGGAGTGCTCGCTTAATTTGTTTTTAGAGGTCTCTAATGTTAGGAAGTTTTAAAACCCATGCAATTAGGCAAAAAAGAGTAAGACAGCCAGGCGTGGTGGTGCACACCTGTAATCCCAGTACTCGGGAGGCTGAGCCAAGAGGATCACCGCAAGTTCAAAAACATCTTGGGCTCATAGTGAGTTCAAAGCCATAGATCTCCCTCAAAAAACCAAAAACCAAACAGCAACAACAACAAAAAAAGGAGTAAGAGAAGAAGAGATGGTTGATCAAGCTTTCTTCACATGGCTTTCCTCATGTAGAGTTAGTAGCTTGTGGGATTAGAGCTCTCTTTAAATGGCAATTTCTGTTTACAACTATGTATCAGGAATTATAGTATTTCCAAGTGATAGTATAGAAATATGTAGGAAAATAAAATCAGGAAATATAGGATGTAGCAATATTTTCTTACTCAGTCCAAGTAAGGTTATATAAGAGTTTGAAGAGGCAGCAATTGAAAAAATACTTTGCTATTTACAAACCTCATTTTGCAAACCAATGTGACATCACACTAAGAGAAAGTCATTTATGTTTAATATTTATCATTATATCATAATTTAAGTACAATGCTTGGGTTGTTTAAAAGCAAGTCAGAGGTTTATACTGAAATACATCTTTGGTTTTGTTTACAAATTGTGGTAAGGATGACAAGGTAGACAAGCCTATCAGCTTCAAAACAGCCTTTCAATATTATTTTCAGAATACTTAATATTTGATAAAACATGCTAAATGCTAAAGCTGTCCTGAAACTTTTACAGAAACCATATTTACATTTGAGGGGCATTGTATGAGGTAAAGAATAATCTAAAAAATATCCATAGCTATGTATTTTATGCATTTATGAAGATAAAAATTAACTTTAAGAATTAATCATTAGCATTCATTATTCAAAATATATTGTACATAAGCTTTGCTTTTATGTGCACTAAAAACTGAACATTACTTGAGTTGTGTGCCAGTTTAACAATGTCTGGGGCAATTTATAAAACTGCAAAGACTAACATTAAACATCCTCCAATTGAAATCATTTGTTAGAGCTAGTATTTTTTCCATCACTGCACTCGGTGAGCTAGAGCACTCCACCAGTTCCCAGAGTAACCAGCATGCAGGAGGCTTGGTCTTGAACCAAAGAATTTTACTACCTTCAGTGCACTCCACTGCCTCATCTGTTCTTCCTTGTTTCAGAGAAAACAAATTGGATAATATTATAATTCATGACCTTAGGAAGAGCACCAGTAAGTGAACAGCGAGATAAATATAGAAATATGCTGGCTAACCAAACACATGCATCAAAATCTCCTACAATTAACAACATAATGATAAACATTAAGTTTAAGTAGAACAAACTCCTAAATTAAATCATGCAGTTAATAAAGGAGATTATTGGTTAATAATTACTTTTCCTTTATGTCTGCAATTATTCTTCCCTTTATGTCTATGGCTGGCTTTTGAAATGTTTTATTAGACAAACTATGTGGGCCCATGAAGAGAGATCAGACAGTTCGCCCTTCCTGTGAGTTGGCAGAAGCCATGCTGGGTCTAGAAGGAGTACAACAAGAAGTCAATTCACCCTTCTTGTGAGTTGTACAATCTGTGCAGAGGCCAGGAAGAGAGACAAGCCAATTCACCCTTCCCATGAGCCATGCAAGCCATGTGGGGCCCAGGAAGAGAGACAAGCCAGTCATTCTTCCTGTGGGTTGGCAGAAGCCATCTTGGGTCTGGGAGAAGTACAACAAGAAGCCAGTTTGCCCTTCCTGTGAGTTGGTAGAAGCCATCTTGGGTCTATTAGGATGATAATGTCTGAGCATCTATTAGGAGGATAACAGTATGCAATATAGCAAATATGGGTAATTTCCTTCTGTCTTGTTTTTGAAATCCAATATTGTTCTGTTTTGTTTTGCTCCAATATTGTTTTGTTTTATTCAATGTTTTGTTTTCATTGGTTTTCTTCTGTTTTATTTCATTTTACTATGTCTGATGGTAGGGACAACTATCTTGAAGATAACAAGATATCTTATGGTAGCTATTGTTGATTTCCTATTATCCTGTCTTGAAGTTCTGTACCACTTTCACTGTTTTGATTTGATTGGCTTTATTGTTTTATTTTGTTAGATTTTATTCTCTTTAAAATAAAAAGTTTTATGAAAAACTTTATTAACCAAATCAAAGTTTTAAAAATTTTATTTTAAAGAAAGAATGATAAATATAACAATAAAACTGAGTTTCAAAACAGGCTAACAAGACAGTTACAACGTTGAAACATTGTGTATTGCTGTTTTCCTAGTAGTTATTCAGATACAAGATATAGGCATGATATCTTGTCCAAACAGTACTAGTATAAAACTTTCTTTTCAAGGCAGAGAAGCTAACTATATAACTGTTTTAACTATCTTGTATGTGCATATATTTTTTCTTTTTCCCTTTTTTTCCCCTTCCCCCTATTAATTTCTCTTTTCTTTTAAATAGTTTTTTCCCATTTCAAAATATCTATTGTACATTTTAGATTCTATTTACTTGTTCACTTTTTCACACCAGTGAGACAATACCATGTTTACACATATGGGTCTGATTTATTTCACTTATGAGTATGGTCTTGAGTTGTATCCATTTTACCTATCAAAAGTCTCAAGTTTATCCTTCTTTATGGCTTAGTACTCCATTATAAAAAAAAAACTGTGCCTCAGTTGATGGACCTTTGGGTTGTCTCCAGGATTTAGTTATTACAAATTATGCTCCTAAAAACATGGGTGCACATGTATTGCCATAGTATGATGTTTTTAATTCTTCTGGGAAGATATCCAGGAGGGAAATAGCTGAGTTGAACAAGATGTCTAATCCTAGTTTTTAAAGGAACCTCCACACTGATTTCCACAGTGGCTGCACCAGTCTACATTCCTACCAACAGTGGAAAAGGGTTCCTTTTTCCCCACAGCCCCTCTAGCATTTGTTATTGGTTAACTTCTTGATGATAGCTGTTCTTTCTGGGGTGAGATGGAATCTCAGTGTTGCTTTAATTTTTATCTCTCAAATGACCAATGATGCTGACCATTTTTTCATATATTTACTTGCCATTTGTATTTCTTCATCTGAGAAGTGTGTATTCATCTGAGATGCCCGTTTTTGGATTGGGTCTTTGAATTTGGAAGGTCTGATTTTTTTTCAATTTTGCGTATGTTCTAGATATAAGTCGTTTGTGGCACAATTGGCTATAATTTTTTCCCACTCTGGGGGTTGTCTTTTTATTCTACTGGTGATCTCTTTTGCTGTGCAAAAGCTTTTCACTAAAGTGAGATTCTATTCATTGATTCTTTGTACTATTTCAAAACCTTGCAGTCTGGGTTTTGTTCATAGAGTCTCTACTTATACCTATTGTCTTCAAGATTTCTGCCTATTTTCTCTTCCAGTAAATTTAGAGTTTCTATTTTAATATTTAGAACTTTGACCCACTTTGACTTTCATTTAGTACATGGTAATTGAAATGGTTCTAGCATTAGACTTTGGCATGTGGAAAGCCAGTTTTTCTACACCATTTATTAAAGAAACTATCTTTCTTCCAGTGAACATGTTCAGTCCTTTGTCAAAGATAAGGTGGCTGAGTGTATTTGAGAATGTGTCTGCATCTTCTGTTCTTTTCCGCTGATCCTCAGTGCTGTTTTTTTTTTTCCCCAATACCATGCTGATTTTATCACAGTTAGCTTTGTAGTAAAATTTCAAGTCTGAGATTCTGATGCCTTTGACTTGCCTTTGTTGCCCAGAATTGCTTTTGCTATCCTAGCCCTTTTCTGGTTGCGAATGAATTTTAGGAATATTTTCTCTAGATCTATGAGGTATGTTAATGGTATTCTGATTGGGATTGCATCAAATCTGTACAGTAGTTTAGGGAGTATGGCCATTTTCACTATGTTGGTTCTTCCTAAGAGCAAGGATATCTTTCTATCTTCTGATATCCTCTTCAAGTTCCTTTTCTTTAGGATACTGTAATTTTCACTTACAGATCTTTTACATCCTCTGTTGGATCAATTCTTAAGTATTTCACGTTTTTAGATGTTACTGTGAAGGGTGTGTTTTCCCTAATTTCTGTCTTGTGAGTTTGTTGCTTGAGTACAGGAATGCTACTGACTTTTGAGTATTGACTTTGTATCCCACTACACCACTGAATTTGGATGTTAATCTACAAATTTTTTGATGGAGTTTTTGGGGTCTACTATGGAGAGTATCATGTCATCTGCAAATAAAAATAATTTAACTTTTCCTTTTCCTATTTTTATTCCTTTTATTTTTTCTGTTGTCTAATTGTTTCAGCTGATCTTTCCAGAACTATATTGAATGGACATTCTCATTTTGTACCTAATTTTAGAGTGAAAGCTTTCAGCTTTTGACCATTTAATATGATATTAGTTGTTGGTTTGTCTTAGATGGTTTTTATAAGATTGAGGTAAAGGCCATCTTTCCAATTTTCTGTGGGGTTTTTTTTAATCATGAATCGGTGTTGGACTCTGTCACAATACTTTTTCTACATTTGTTGAGATGATCATATGATTTTTTTGATTTTAAAAAAGCAAACAGAAAAAAGGATTGAAACAAAACAAAAAACAGTAAGAAATCAACACTAGTTAATATATTGGATATTGTTATCTTAGAAGTAGTTGTTCAGATTACAAGATCTAGGCATTAAAAATAATCAATCAAACAAACAATGACAGTACAAACTGTTCTTTTTGATGAGCTAATAGAAAATTAGTCATATAGTTATCTTGCATACTTAAACATACATACACTTATATGTGTATACCTATATACATATAATTTTTTCCTTTCTTCTATTTCTCCTTTTTCCTATCACAGTTGCTCTTTCCTTTTGAGCTCTTTCTTTCCCTTTCATTATTACAATATCTATTGTACATTTTGGATCTTATTACTCTTTCAGTATATTATTATTATTTTTTTTACACTAGGGAGACAATACAATATTTACACATGTGAATATGATTTATTTCACTTATGAATATAGTCTCAAGTCTCCATTTACCTATACAAACCTCAAGATTATCCTTTTTTATTGCTGAATAATATTCCATTGTATAAAAATACATCTTTTTAAACCAATTCTGCAGCTGATGGGACATTTTGGTTGTCTCCAAGATTTATCTCTTACAAATTTTGCTGCTATAAACATGGGTGCACATATATGGCTGTGACATGACATGATATGATTTTTGTCTTTGGTTCTGTTAATAGAGTGCATTACATTTAATGATTTGTGTATGCTGAACCATTCCTGTATCCCTAGGATGAATCCTACTTGGTCATGATGTATAATCTTGATGGTCTGTTGCATTCTGTTTCCCTGAATCTTATAAGGATTTTTGCAGCAATGTTCATTAGGGAGAATGGCCTGTAGTTTTCTTTCTTGGTTGGGTTCTTCTCTGGTTTTGGAATCAGAGTAACTTTACTTGCTTAAAAGTAATGACTTTGGGAATCCTGTTTCTCTTTCATTTTCTTTTAAAGAATTTCAGCATTAGTGGCATTAATTGTTCTCTATATTTCTTATAGAATTCCACAGTGACTCTGTCAGGCTTGGGCTTTTGTTGGCAAATTTTTAAATACATTTGCTGATACTGGTATAGTTAGAATTTTTATCTTCTTGAGTTAGTTTTGGTAATTTGATTTTATCTAGGAATCTGTCCATTTCTTCTGTTTCCCAGCTTACTAGAATATAGTAAGTTCTCATAGTACGTCCTGATGACCTCCTGGATTTCTGTGTGATCTGTTGTGATTTCCCCCTTTTCACTTCTAATTGCTTGAATTTGTATTTTTTTCTTTCCTCTTTTTGATGAGGGCAGCTGATGGCTTTTCAATTTTATTATTCTTTCAAAGAAGCAACTTTTTGGTTTACTGATTCTTTGTATTATTTGCTTAGTCTCTACTGCATTAATTTCTATTCCTATAATTCCCTCCCTCATATGAGTTGGGTTTGATTTGTTTTTATTTTTCTAAAAGTGTGATGTTCAGCATTAGGTTATTTGAGCTTATTCTATTTTTCTAATGTATGCATGTACTGCTATAAATTCTCCTCATAGGACTGCTTTCATGTTGTATCAACATATATACTGCTTAATTTCATCTTTAATTTCCACTGTGACCCACTGATTGTTTAGAAGGGTGTTGTTTAATT